AACCTCCCTCGACCTGCTGGCCACACTCTTCTTAATGCACCCCAGGGTGGCACTGGCCTTCTTTGCAGCAAGGGCACACTGCTGGCTCATATCCACCTGTGTAGATTTTATCCACCAAAAAAGATTTTCAATAGTTTTGCAAGGAAAAAGAAACAAAAGCATAAGCTGTAAAATGAAACTGAGATAGTATGTCCTTTGAAAAAACCTCCAGAGACACACATCAATTCAGTATTTCAAAACATTAAAAAAAAAAAATTCACAAAAGCAAGTATTTTAGCAGGAGTTAGTGTCCTGTTAGTTATTAACTGCCTTGTAAATATTTTAACTACCATTTGGACTCTACAAAGTCAATTATGAAATTTTATTTTACAGGTACTTTGAAAGAATTTCGGAATTAATGCCTAGACTTACATTTCAAAGAATTTTCAAGAATCATTTTCCGTATCAGGCAATAATTCTCCCAGACAAGATAAAAGGAAAAAGATTGGCCTGTGGGCTGACACGCGAGAAGTTAATGAGATGGCTGGCACTAGCCACAAAAAATAAAGAACATAAAGCAGGACAAAATAAAAACATGTATGTAAAAAACTGTTTCGTTTTATAGTTTTAGTCACCATCAGTTTTCAAATTCCAGAGGTTTGTCATTAAAACTGTAAGAGAGCTAGGAAGCCTTCAAAGCTTGCATCAAATTCCTAAAGGAACTGTTGCTTACACCAATTCTCTTCAAAAAACAGCATGTTTGCTAAGACATTCCACCTGAAACTAGCTGCTTTTTGGATATCAGGCAACTTCTTCTAATTGTGATTTTAAAATAAGTTATTACATTACATTGAAGAATAACATAAATGTGTTTGTATTTATCACAGAATCATTTAGATTGGAAAAGACCTTTAAGATAATTGAGTCCAAAAGAAACAATATATGTATTATTATATATAAATTACACATATTATTCTAAAAGACATTATATAATCTTGATGTCTAAACAAATAAAAGAATGAAGTTATTCTTCACAAATGCAAGTGAAACTACACATAAGATCTTTACATGACAGTAATTCTCAATAACAAACGTATTTTGTATGATCAATATACATGCCTGAGAAAGAAAACATACTCATACTGAGGACAATGCTGTTCAGAAAAAAAACTCTGCATTTTCTCACTTAAAATTTTAATAAGGACTTGTATCTTAAAACAACTCAAAGTTATTAAATCAAGTCATGCCATTGACTGAGGGCAGTATAAATGTCAAATTTTCAGTTGTTTCTCTCATTACAGGGGGCTGATACTGCCCATTTTGACCACTGGAAAACTTCAGGAAAGCTTCATTTTTCCTGTGTGTCTTTCAGCCAAGTCACAGCAGTACGTTAAGCATTGGAATAGAACCTGCAAACTATTCAAACTCCACACAGACATGCAACAACAATGCTTTAGAGTATCAGACACAATTAATTCATAGATCACTCAGATAAACCTGGAAGGTAATACAGATGTAGCTGAAGTCGGTGCCACTATGAAAAACCTATTGGTAGATCACTTGAGGATCTGTTCTCAGAACCTGGTACAGGAATCAGGATCACAAGTGTCTCCCAGACACCTAGAACCACTGGCAAACAGGTTTCCAACAAAGCAGAAGCGAAATCTGGCAGCAGGCCTTACTAACACTGGGACACCAGTTGATTTGACAGC